TCGATTGCGAAATATGCTTTAGGCAACACATATTCAGGAGCAATTTATATCTTTTTCTTGATATATATACACGTCGCGTATAATAACAATTAATATGCAGAAAAACATGTATAGTATTGACGAGTAAATAAGGTTGTTAGGAATTCTCTTACTACTATAGAGAAAAAAGTTATGGGCTATCTCTTTACAATACATTCAAAGAAAACGACAGTTGGTAAATGTATATTTACTATTTTAATATTCATCCTCTGTCCTATTGTTATAGACGACCGTTCATTTTTAACGTCATTGACAAAAAAGCCCAAGTGCCCAAAAAGGAGGGTTGGACTTATTTCGTTCAAGTTTGTGAAATAAATTACGGTAAGATTTTTCAGTCAAAAAAGTTTTCCCGCAGTGACTAGCAGTCGACAAAAGTTTACAATACTCTGTTTTTTCAGTTTTTTTTTTAACTATAACGAATCAAGAACATCTATTAAGTAATATGAGTAGATTAACTTGGACAAAGTGTAAAGAAATGTCTATGATTATTAAATTCAAAGTTTAGAACCTTCTTTTTTGTGCTGAAGCTAACAGTCGTATTTTTTATAAAACCGGAACTCTCCATCGAACAGTAAAATTTTTGTAACTCATCTAGAAAGGATAGATTAAACAATTCTCTTCGAAATAAGACATATCCAAACTCTATAGAACTTTCCATTGACTATTTACGACTTTTCATTCATCTCAACAGCATGAATAGTTCTGTAGTTGTATGTCGTATCTGGTAAAACTTCATCGATTGTATATTCGATCAATTCTCCAACAAATATTAGTTCTTTTTCTCCAATATTGATTATTCCAAGAACTAATACTGAATAACTCAAGGACCCATTTCGAAACACAATTGATGAAGTTTTACCGGATATGGCATGCAAATACAGTACTGTTCATTCAGTTGAGATGAATGAAAAGTCTTCTTTGATCACTTACGAAGTTTTATTAAAATTCAACGAAAAGGCACCAAGGAATCTTGGTGAAAAAAATGTCCTGACACTGAATATTTTCCTAAAATTCTGACACTTTTTTTTGCCAACAATTTATCTGAATTTTACATATTAGAATTCACTACGACTTACGATAAATCGAATGATGAAATTATAGAGTCTTGAAAGTACGTAGCAGACGAGATAAAAGATACGTTTTCTAGGACTAACGTGAATCAATTATAACTTAAAATCCCTATAGCTTCGCAACAAAGGAACGTTGGGAAAAGCGATTTTCATATTGGATCAAATTCTATAAACTGACACATGTCCCATTAGAAATCTTAGGTCATACTTGATGATTTTTCTTCTTAAGCTCTATTGTATTGTGCGGTCGTTTCGAATCATCATAACTAGTCAATGGAAGATCGTGTAGAGCTTGGACATGTCAAAAAGAATTATTTAGCCTATCTTTTCTAGATTAGTTACAAAAAGTTTTACTGTTATATGAAGAGTTCCGATTTTATAGAAAACACGATTTTTAGTTTCAAATTCAAGTAACTCATATCACTCTTTCGATGTCCTTGAAGCATCATTATCGCTAAAGAAAAAATTGAAAAAACAAAATGTCATCAATTTTTGTCCATCGCTTTAGGAGATGAATGACAACAAATATGCTGAAGTTGACAAGTTGTTATAATTTTCTCTTCTGAAAAGTATAGCATATAACTTATGTTAATAGCTTTTTCCTTTTTCCGAAGAACACTGTTGGCCTGTAGGCGACAGACAACTTTGATAGACGAGTTGAAGAGTAGGAACTATCCTTTCTAAAAATTTGATACGATACTTACATAAATAAATTTGCTGGTCGTCGATTATCCAACGTAACTGATAGTGGGTCACTAAAATAGACGGGTTGTCTATGCTGTAATACTGCTGAAAATGGTTGTTGTGACGTATAAAAATCGGAACGTTCACGATGTGGCGATTGAAAAGAGCGAGTAGAGTATTGATCATCGTCATTGAATAATTCTGATGATAAAGGTAACGATGGTTGATAACGAGATGAATGAACAAACATATTATCAGTAAAACATTGTTATATCAAATTCGAATGTTCGCGATGAACGCTGAAGAAAAAATAACAAATTAGAATTTAATTGAGTCCGAATCAAATCAACAATAAAATCTTGTTAATTTTATAAACGTTTAATTGTTTGATTTTGATAGGCACTAAACACCGCACGATGGTCTATACTTACTACAGTCTTATCCTATTTTATCTTATTCTAAGCAGAAACATATTACGTTATCAATGTCTGTATGACTGTACAATCTAATCGAGTTTGTACATATTCACATAATCAATCAGCGAAAAAAGTTATATGTATTTGCATAGACTTAGTATTCTCATTCATTTATTTCTTCTTTTTGTTTTTTGATAAGACACTATCATCTGGAGTAGCATTTCCCCCTTTCTTATTTGTATTCTTCTCATTGAAGATGATTACTCAATGAAAATCTGTTCAGCTGAGCACATTCTTTTCTCTTTCTTCACAAGAAAAACGTATTTTACTTACTATGAAATAAAATTTATGATTTTTTAGTAGATAAATTCATAAGATTGAGTTATGTAAACATGGAAACAATCAAAGGGACAAACTGTTATTGTAGAGTAAGTATCTCAGTACCGAAATACTCAAATCGAAGCGGAGCCTTGTTTTTTTTTTTCGAACAATATTTCTCAAGTTTTGATCTTTAATATTTAAGAATAACAAACGAAAATATTTTGATTTTTCACAAAGGAAATGAATCACATCTATCTGTGCGATTTTGTTGAATGTGAATGAAGATTTTGTCGTTTAATAGCTCTTCATACAGTTCGTTCTGCATGTAAAATAGTAAATCTGCACATTTGTAATTTAAAAAAAAATAAAATAAAATTTGAACAAAAGAACGTACGTTTGTCTGTTTTTCTTTGTAAAATTTCACTTGAGTTTGAACTCGTATTTGTTTTTCAATGTTATATGAGAGAAAAGAGCAGATATTATCTTCACTACAAAAGAAGTTGTTCCCGTACTGTTCATATAATGATGACTTATCACAGCATGATCCGTCGATAGGATACAGAAAAAATTGTTACAATGTCTGTCTACTATATAATTATAGAGATAAAAGAAGAAGAACGTTTCTTGTCCATTCGGAAAACATCTCACAGTAGTCAAAATTCATTTATGATTGGTATAACACATTTTTGACACGGATAAATAAAAATTTGCTTAATACTCATGTGTAAACGAATAATTAATATATTTCGATTATCCACTGATGAATGAACATAAAAATTCTTACCCTCTATTTTTCATTTACTTCATATTTTATAACATCCTTCTTTCCTTATTATTCTGTATGTGAATAAATGTCGAAAAAATATTTTGTGATTCTTGGATGATTCTATCTCATCTTCTTCTAGACAATATACTTGACAGTAATAAAAACTATACACATGCAGAAGAAATAAAAGGTGTTTATATCCTTATATTTGTTTACAAGCGTGTGTGTTTTGCAACTACCAGAACAAAATTATGCTTTTATGTATGATTATTCTTTTATTCTTTTCTTATGTACTTGCTTCTATGCACTTATAAAATTTTACCTTTTTATCGTTCACCATCACTAAACACTTTCTTCTATAATCTATTTAAATGACGTTTCAAAGCTTTTTTTACTTGGTTTTTGTTATCTTCAATTTTCCAAGAACAACGTTTTTTTTTTGTATTGTTTTGCCATACTACACACTTTAACAATGAAAGAAAAAAGAGAAAAAAAATGACAAGTCAAAATGATTTTTTTTCTTCTTTCTCATATGATTTAACCGCACCAGTCCTCGTTTCTCAAACAAATATAAAAGAACAAATTCATAGCATTTCCATTATCTTTTTTTTGTTCGCTTAAAGAATCTCGTATTATTCGCAGAAATGAAACGTTTTAACCTTCTATAGATGCTGTCACGACGACACCGACAAGAATTTTAAAAAAAGTCGTAATTGTTGAAAAACCTTGGTAGAGTTTTATAAACATGCCACATACTTGACAAGAAGAAAGAATAATTTGACACCAATCAAAGTACCCTGTCATTGAAAGTGCTGATCATGAACGACAACTTTGATTCTAGTGTACACCATGGAGAAGAAACAGTTTGTATCAAAATCAACCGATCAATTAATTAATATTTAGATATGTTATTAAACTAGAAAAGGATAAGAAACCCAAGAGAGGTTCATTTTCACAAATTCCATTCTCTAAAAATCTTGTTTAAGCCTTGAAGATAAGAAGAAAATTTGAAACAAATGTATCAATCCATCTATTTGACTGCGTTACTTTCACTTCTCGTTTAGGATCCATTTTAAATGTGCAAGTGAATAAGCATGACCTTCACAGTCATTTCTATAAAAGATACTTTCTTAAAATTTGATTGGAATTAATCTATCTTGTAACAATATGTCCTCTCTTGATATCGATACTATTCTCATATGAGTCTAAATTTTGATTGTTTGTGCATTACATTTATGTTATTTGAACGTATTATATATTTTTTTGCACAAAATTGAAAAAACAAAAAAGCAAAACAATTTATTCACGACTCTAGATTTCGAAGACCGATAAATAAATAACACACGTACATATAAATGCCACTATCTACAAAAGATGGAAAAGCCAGCAAGCAAAAAGACCCATATTCTAAAATTAGTTTAGAAAAAAAAACATGTAAGTAAGAGAGAAGAAATGCCAATAAGTGAGAATATCCCTGATAGACGGTAAGTAGAATAAAAAATAATCTGACATGATACAACATTGAATGATTGCATTGGAACGCTAATAAATATAAGAGACATCTCAGAAAGAGAAACAGACAATATAAAATATATGACCGGCTTTGACTTTAGAAATTATACAAATACGAAAGAATAGAAAAGCAATTATATTGCAATTAATATAAATTAAATTAATAAACATACAAATAATGGTTATTAAAGACTACAATTTATCAAGTAGCCGTTTAATATCTTGTAATAACCGTGTTAGTTTTGTCAATGTTACATCTTCGTCGGATGTAGAAACGGTTGATGCCGTTGATGCGATGGCTGAATCATCATTTGTAACAGTAGAAAGTAATTGTGTGGCTGCATCACGTATTTGTTGAACATATTCACGTAAACGAAACGCGATTTGTGGTGATACTTTTATTTGACAAATACGTTCACCAAAATGATTTAAATCATTGACAAATGTAATTGTAGATGTTGTAATTGAATTTTTATTACTAATATTTTCTTTCGTTAACACTACCGTCTCATCATCGATTGTTATACTTGATGATACTTTTGCACGACGAATTTTATGTATTTGTCTTAAATGTTTCATTAATAGTTGAACACATTCTAATAATGAACGCATTGTATCCGTTTGATTGTTTTCAGTACCTACACATGTGTTTATAGCGGATGTAGATATTTGTTTTGAAGAATCTTGACATCGACTCGAAGCATATTCAGAAAATAAACGAATAGCGTTTTCAACAGTAGGAAGCGTTGTTTCAATTACATTCTTTTCAAATGCGAGAGTACCCGGAGGACATGATGTTGTTAATGTGTCAGTTTTAACATCAATTTTAGCATCACCACTAGAAGAAGAGGCTGACGAAGAAGATGATGAGACAATTTTTGTTGGTGGTAAGCCAGTTGTGCGGCGTAGATTTATACGACAAAATTCCGGTGTAAATGTGTCCGATGAAGGATTGTTCTCGGCAGATCTAATATTGCCACTAAACTTGTTTGACGAAGATGTTTTATCAATCGATGTATTGGATTCTATCCTAGAATGTCGAAAAGAATCGCTTAGTTAAATAATAAAATCACTTTTGTCTACACGATGACCAAGCGAGAAAGAAGGTTTTATTCCGCTAAACCGCGTATCTAAAGAATTTCCTTCTACTAGTGCAAGCAAAAATGTTACGATGTTCTATTACATACCTATTAGCTTTTTTATTCAGTTTGTCATTTTTTCCTAATTCACCTCTTGTATATTTTGCTGTTGTCATTGTATCAGTTTCTGACGGCAACATGCCGTTATTCGATGTTATTGATCGTTGTAAATTATCACAGTTTGCTTGTTGTTGATGATTTTCTTTGGAAGATAAATTATTATTGATTGTAGTAGACATTGGCGGTGAAAATGTTGTTGATGTTGAGTTTTGCATTGTGGCTAACTGCTTTTTACTACTAAATGTTGATAGACGTGCTTCAGGATTCATATTCCTTGGACGATCACCTCTTAACTTATCATTATTCTGTGATGTTATAATTAAATTTAATTGATTTGCTGCTTCCTGTTGTGATGATAATAAAGATAAAGATACAGGTCCATTTGTATTGTTTAAATCAGATGGATGTTCGAAGATGGTTTGATCAATATGATGATTGATAGTGGATGTTGATGATGGTTGACCAGTCAATGACAATGGAAAAAATCGTGATAGCAATGATCGATGAGCAGAAGTTGGTGGAGGTGGCGGAGTCACATTCATTGCATCTTTAAATGAGCATGTTCTAGCAGGTCTAATAACATATGTGTATATATATATAAATTTGTTGAAAAGTTCTAATGTATGAAAAAGGAGCACTTACGGTTTTGGAGGAGGAATAGTGAGGCGAAGTCTCTGTGCTGAGGAACCAAAATCGACTACTTTGCATGTACCTAACAGAAAAAAAAGCGATAGAATCGTAATTTATCGGATCACAAAGAGACAATATCGTACCATTTTCTTGATTGTGAAAACCAACACATGTCATACAATCCAGTTCAGCATGTATCTCTTTAAAAGTGGGTCGCTCTTCAGGCTTCCATCTCCAACCTGAAATAAATTGATTAATTATTTTATCATTATTGTGATAGGAACAAGTAAATCTTGTTATAAAGATCAAAATTAGGAGAAATAATTTGTTTTAATACCGTTTTCAGGATCCGATTTCTAGTACAAAGTTTTTCTGGTTGTTTTTTTTTTTGCTAATATTATATGAAGAAAATCTAGCATATTCCGTCATGTGAAATCTTTTACATATTAACGAGATGAGAATATATTCAGATGAAAATGGCAAAAAATAGGTTTCGGTTCTTTTGAGTAAGTTTTGTATTAAAACATATGGTTTTTGTTGCTTGTTACATTAGAACAGATTAACTTACACTTCTGCATTAAATTGTAAACATCCGCTGGACAACCTTCAGGGGAGGGCATTCGACAACCGGTCTAAAGATAATAAAAATAAAATATTCTGATCCAATAAAACCACTAATTATTTGAAGAAAGCTCTTTTCTCTATAAATTCAAGTGTTTACATCAACAAAAATGTTTGAATTAATAATTAAAATTACCTCTAATAAATGATATACATCAGACAAATCAACACCTGGATACGGAGAAGAGCCATATGTAGCAATCTCATAAAGAAGAATACCAAAACTAAAAATAAATATGTGCTTGATGATGTAAGATTTAATCGCAGTTTTATTATAACTAAAAATTCGTACCTCCACACATCTGACTTTGTAGAAAATTGATTGAAGGCCAGTCCCTCTGGTGCAGTCCACTTAATTGGAAATTTTGCTCCTAACTTAGCCGTGTAATGATTTTCACATTGAATAAGACGAGCAAGGCCAAAATCGCCCACTTTCACCAAATGATTCTCACCTACTAAACAATTTCTTGCTGCTAAATCTCTGTGTATAAAATTTTTTTGTTCTAAATATGTCATTCCTGATCCTATTTGCCCGGCCATGTACATTAAAACGGTTGATGTTAATTCAGATCGAGGATGCTTCTTCAAATAATCTAATAAACATCCATATGGCATAAATTCTGTAATAATATAATAAGGTGGTTCTAATGTAACAACTCCTAATAACTGAACTAAATTAGGATGTTTCATTTCTTTCATAACGCATGCTTCATCAATAAAATCTGTGACATTCATTGTTTCCTTTAAAGTTTTAACTGCAACAATTTTATTATATCTAAATAGAGGAAATACAAAAATTATGGAAATCGGTGGTAGAAAGTACAATCACCACAATAAGAGACAAAATGAATATTATAACTGATTCAAAACTAATAAGAATTTTAGTCATTGAGAAAAACATACCTTTTCCAAAGAGCCTTGTATACATCACCGTATTGTCCTCCTCCTTCTTTACATTGCATAATAATTTCTGATCGTGCTATCTCCCATTTATCATCTATTTTAAATAATGGCGGTTGATTTTTTTGTTTACTTATTGGATATAATAGCAAATGTACAAGTCCATCTGTTTTTGTTGAATGATGATAAATTAATTGTTGCAAACTTTGAAAACGAAACTCAGTACTAACATAATATTGACCATGTTCATCCTTATTTATCCGATAGTGATAGATACGTTCTTCGTATCGTACACTAATGGATAATTGTCCCGGTACTGTTTCACTGTCACGCACTAAAAAACCTTAATAACAAGAAAAGAAATAATTATGCTAAGTTTACATATGACACTTTTATGCTCACATACTTCCATTAATTCCTTGAGTAAGTAAATATTCAGCTTCACATCTAGATACTTTACCATGAAACCAAGAATGTCTGTCTAACGAGTCTAATGGTCGAATAAACGAGTTGGGTACCCAGCCCGTTTCACCACGAATATTCTTTACTTCACACCATTCATTATTATTATTGCAGCCAATAATTGTAAGATGATCACCAACTGTTAAAGTCAATTGTTTATCATCCGAACCCTGGAATGCATGAAGAGCAATGTATACATTCTGGGAACAACATAAACTTTGATCATTTGATAAGATTGCTGACGACGAAGAAAGAACGTAATCATTGGATAAATGATGATTGTGATGTAAATGACAACCGCTTACGAATGATGAGGATGTAGTGGACGTTGTTTCGCATTGTGATAATAATTCGCGAGATAACCAACGTTTATCAGATGTTAATATAAAATCTTGATTATTATTGCTGTTATTGTTAAACGGTGAATGAGCTAAAGTACCACCTGGTGTTACACGAAATGAACCTTAAATAAACAAATAAAATAGGTGAATTAATTAGAATATGTCATTATTTTAAACTTGATGAGAGAGGAACAGTCTTATTCTTTCTACTACCTTGACTATGAACGGATATATCATCCAATATTGTATTTGAGTGTATTGTCAAACAGGACGATGGTAATAATGGTGATTCGGTATGTGATGATAAATTTAAAAATGGTTTCGAAATTGAACGTCGACTTTTTAAACTTGGTGATGAACGACTTTCTCTTCCATTTTGATTTCCCATTTAACGATTATTCTTTTCAAACAGAAAAACTGATAATAATTTGCTACATTCTAAAGAAAGAACGAAAAATAAAAAGCTCACGTTTTTAGATCTACTATTATGAAACTGAAGCTTACCTCCTCTTTTCTAAGCATTCAACTGGAAAAAGCTAAGCATCTAAGATATCGAAATCGAACTAATAAACTGTTTTTTGTATTTAAAGCTATTCCCTACTAGTAGATCTTCATTTGGTTAAAGCAAACAGGAAACTGGTTGTACATAATTTAAAAGTAGTTAGATTGAGTTAAAATTGAAAAATAACATTATTCAATATTATGAACAAATGAATGACTCACTCCATACTTCTTTTTGATTGCATGTCATAGCTGACCAATAAAAAATTGATACATCAAAATTCACCTCCAAGAGTCGGAGTTGGACGCAGTGTTTTAATAGGAAGTTTTTTCAGAGTGGAGCATTCCACTTTACTGTTAGGGTCAAAGTGGGATTTTCTACTTTGATATGAAATGTAAAGCGGACAAAACGGGAACAGTTGAAAGTTTTGCCTAATACCGGCCGGCTAAAAGAGTTTTTTTATCGTCACAGGGATTTCGTTTTACCACTTTCAATTAAATGGACCGAAATTAACTTCTCTACCTTGATCAATTACAAATTTAACAACAAACATCTTAGATGACTCATCTAAAACAAAATGTAACTAAAACAATAGCTGGAAGTTGAAGACTTCTGAAGAAAAAGAAACGCTGCAAAATTTTTATACGTTCAGATCAGATCTGTTAAAATATTACGTAGTCACAGATCCGGGAGTTAAAGTTAAGCAGCAAAAGAGAAATGTGCTATATGTATATATATATATATATGCCGCCACATAGAAAACAGAATGCATTGATCTAATCGATTAACACATTTAATCGTGTATATAGACATTGGTTGAATTTTTCATTGAACGAAAAGAGAAAAAGTCAAATATTATCTTCGGCGGCCATTTTTAGCGGCTGTTATTGGGCAGGTAACTTCTAACTACGTCCAAGCGTCAACCACGAATAGTGAATGTTCGAAGCTGGCAAAGATGAAGAAAATCAGCGCATTTTCTATAATAGCGGGATTTCACGAAACTTCTGATTAAAGCAGACTCGTAGAATACTGCTTATGGAATGTACTTTATTAAGTTTCCTTTGTGTATATTTTTTTCTAACCAATAATCCTTCGAAAATCGTATGAGAAGCGGTTAGTGTTGGGATTAAAGTAGGCGGAGAACGAAAGCGTTATTTGTGGAAAAATGCTTCTTTTTTAAGAAGAACTCGTAGGTATTCGTTTGCTCTCACTGAACTGTTACAGAAATTAAATGGAACAATATCTTTTTCATTTAAGGAAAGGTATACAATGCTAATCTAAATAAATTCCAAATCTAGTTTCTGTTCGTCTTCTGCTGAGCTGAGGATTTTGAGTCTCCTATGAGTCGTTGACTATCTATGCATTGTCCACGGGATACAGTCTCTTGTGTATTTTGATTCTTTCTATTTTGGTAGATGAAGATAATAACGGTAGATTCACATTATTGTTGTTTTTCTGAATATGTTGTTCTTTTTGTTTAGTTTACTATTATATTTTTATGGGATTCAAAATCAAAAAGTTATTATTGATTGTTCTTAACTTTCAACAGATGAAAACATCAAACATTAACGTTGCTGTATAGTAAGAACGTCTTGACATGGATATGTTTTGATCAGCTCTCAAACTAGACCGATACTAGGTAAGTCATGCAATTTATTTTCTTATCCTACCGCAAAAAGGAAGTGACACTTGCTTCCTTTGTGATCTACCACCACGGTTAAAAATGAAGAATATGTCAGATTTACCAGCCAAGAATTTTTTACCTCAAAGACTTGAGTCAAAGAATCTATTTTTTTTTAAAACGTTATTGAGATATGTAAAATTGAAAACAAATCTGAGAAAATTCCCAAATTTTATTTAAAAATTAGAAATGCACTTTTTTTAAAAGTTTGTTATTCACCATATGGCTTGAAGAATTTTAAATTCGATTATTCAGTCGAAACTTTTCTATCGCGTATTTCACTATTAAAAACCTCTCAATTTTCTGAAGATCGTACTAGTGCGAAGTTTAAGAATATGTATTGAAAAGACCGTCCGCAATATTCTTTAATTCCAAGTTTTAGCATAATTGGTTCACCGAAGCACGAGAGAAGCTACACCAACTTTCTCAACTTGATACCTCTATTCTCACGACGTTTTTCAGAGAAAGATGTATATTTCACAGTGACCTCGTAGATAAGTCAAAAAGTTATATATTTTGATCTTTTAAATTTGTTTTAATAAACTCCTAATCATGAATAAAGCTAAGAGTGTAAGTTAAGACTGTAGTTGCCTCAACGTTTTTCGACAATATAATGCGTTAAATCTGTAAGAATAATGCTTGTAGAAAACATGAAATCTCGATTTTTTTGTATAACGAGGGAGTGTGCAAAGATTGTATATATTTATTTTAGAGTTATTTCTAACAATTAGCACTCAAACAGTAATTTGAGTATTCGAATTATGATGAGACCTTAGCGAAGCTTAACTACTTGGAAAGTGACACTTTGATTTATTGAAATAAGATGACGATGACGTATCAATTTGAAGACCTCAGATATTTACATTTCCGATAGGTTAAGAGGCCACGAGAACAGATCTAAGAAGTGTTGTTAGGACACTGATACTTTCAAGCCCTTCTTACCAAGATCCGATAACCTCTCAAACGACTGCTTGGACGACTCCGAGCACGAAAAGTTCAACATGCTAAATAAAACCATAACTTTTTTCTATTTTCGTTGTAAATACTAGAATCTATTGATCTCATCAAGAACTGGCGACATCTATAAATGTTGGTCGCTACCGAACGACAAGAATTCTGAGATTTCTAAACTATGTATCTAGACCACCTGTCGCATCACGCTATGTAATTAAAGTAGGATAGTTATTATAACATGTTGGTGATGGGAGAGCGATTAATTTTATTTCTCTTAAGCACCTAGAGCATATAACTTATCAATATATTTGTTGATATATTTAGGAGCTTTTTTGGATGGATACAGATGTAGTTACACTTTTCGTGAATAAAAGTCTTAGTCTCTTAGTCTTAGTCATCAATATTCTGTAAAGAAAATCCAAGCTAAAAAACCTGTATAGGCTATTTGACTTCGGCTCAAGTTACTATTAGAAAATTTGTCGTCTTTGTCATTAAAATTATGCATTATTTCCAGCAATTTTTCTAATTTAATCAATTTCTCAAAGCGTCTAGGCCAAGTTGCATCTGAGATAAAGAACGTTCGAAAAATAAATGCAGTGTATCATTGATTATAGTTTCTATTCTTTTTCCGTTTGCTTATGTGTCGCTAAGACTATTACATATGCCGAGAATCTTTATACACATGGCAAAGAGAAATGTATGTGGTTGTGACCATAGAACAGAGAAAAAAAAATTTCTCTTTTGCTGTTTTGTTTTGTTTGCCTTGCCGCGATTAAACGAATAAGAATGCACATTACAAATCGTCATATGTCGAATCGGTCGGTTGATAGCAAATAAAACAATTTTTGTGTTGTAAAAATATAAGTAAAAAGAAAAAAAGAGAAAAAATAAGAAGTTCACATCAGAAATATAACGTATACACGTATAGTATGCATCAGTATGAAACAAAATATAGTCGACCGAACCTCTCGCATCATCATCTACTAGTAATATTTTGTACAAACATATTTCAGAAGCAGTCAAACACATTTACAGTAGTAGTTTGTTGTTGTGGTCATATCTATTCCCTGTAACAAGAAATCATTATATTCACAAAAAAAAATCGTCATGATGACGTTTAAAAGGTTGAAATATATTTATTTAAAAAAATATAATTATTGCGTGTGTGTCTGTATTTGTACAACAACAAATTGCATCTAGATACCTCATTGAAACGAATGATCATTTCGTAAATAATAGTTGAGAATGGTCGTGTTGGAGGAGGAATATTCCATTGTCTTTGTTGCTGAACTACTTTTTCTCGAACAATTAGAGTGTTGTAACAGACGATGTGTGTTTATCGTACCTTGATAGGACTGTTTTGGCTCGTTTAATAATAACGCTTCAAGTAGTCGTATCCCTTGGATGAGATCAGCCGGTTTCGAGATTAAAGGGAGAAAATTACGATTCTTTCGTTTGCTAAATACTTTAATAGATCTGCGACTTAGACTTATCGATATTAGAAACGTCCTATGTTAGTGGAATGGAAACCATTGTCTGTTACAATCTCTATAGTAGTCACTCTGCAATATTCCCATAGACTGCTTCTGGGCGTATGAATCAAAATCATTAGTACAGTATGTACGCCTAATGTTCTCCGCATTATCTTTACACAAACTAGAAATGTATCTAATATTAATTTAAGAACAAAAGTGAGTACAAGAATCTCTGTTTGCTAATCCATGTGTTTTACATTGTTTGCATCTTTATTATTTCCTTACGTGTGAGTGAGTATAAGAGTCAATTACGATCAATAAGGTCTTAATATTATGCCAGAACCAGAAGTTTTTTTATTTTTCTACGTTAAAAGGAGATCTCTGAGAGTTTTGTCATTGAGAAATACGCAGCAGAGAAGTGTTATGCTGACCTTCAGTTTAGAACGTTTTTTTTACATTTTTTTCATTTCTTCATCCTGCTTCACCTTGGTGTGTATGTGAAAGCGCTATAGTCTATGCTTCGTTAAAAATGGGTATTTTATCATGTTCTTGAGGACAGAGAACAGAAACGAACGTTTTCTTTTATGCTGCTTTTTGTTTGCTTCCAGTTATTAAATTAGTTGTATCTTTAGAATGTTCCGTTGACAGATCGTAGATAATTACTTGTATGAAAGTTTATCTAGTGTGGACTGAACGATTACAATATATTTCGGCCTTAGTATTCAGTTAAAATATTAGCAGAAAAGAGGAAACAACAATAAGGCCGATACTCGTCTTCTTCTCTTGAGTATTTGAGAAAGAGAAAGAAAATGTAAAATGAGAGTATAGTTGATGCGTTTAAATTTCTCTTACATGGGAGAACTGAATAATACTTTCTCTTTTCTTATGTTAGTAATGTTGAAAATAGTGATTGTTTGTGTTCTGCTTGCTAAACGAAGTAATTTCATCATATAGGCAGTATTTGAAGTAAATGCATTCGCCAAATAAGGATAAGAATCAAATAGTGTAAGAAAAAGGAATGTTGGTGGTCTCAGCTTGAAATAGCTGATAATTGAACCAAAGACAAAAAAAAATCGATTTTGTAGCTAAGACATCACAATGGTTTTATCACGAGTTTGCCACAAACAAACTGTCGAAGACTTTTAGTATCAAGTCAAATTACAGATAGTAACGAAACGTCTAACTGTCAAGGTGTATCATCACCTTTTAGAACTGAACGAACAAACGACTGAATGATACTTCTTTAAAACCAATTAAAACGAATAATCGTATCAAATTTTTATCTGCCATTTGACTTATTACTAGAAGTCTTCAATGATTTATTCTCCCTTTGATTTTCTGTCAAATTTAGTTTGAACCTTGCATATATATTGCATTTACCCATACCCTCGTGCAGTCCACTAATGCTGAAAAAGGGAGTAGAATATTGAGGAAGAGTACATAGAGTAAAAGTGATTGCTCTTTTTAAACCTTTGCTGAATGCGAGGCCATGTGAAAGAAGAAAATTTATGAAGTCTAAGACTTTTTGTGGAAAAAATGACCTCTAACTTCGTCGATGTTTCACTGTAATGGTGAGTATAAGCCAAGAATAGAGTATAATAAGCTTTGCTTTCAAAAAATAACATCTCGCAATGGAAGCTAAGAAGAAATCTATTTGGTATAATAGGTCGAGCTGGAGATAGTTCTAAACTACCCGGCATCTGTTTGCTTTTGGTGGTGTTTTTTCATCTAATTTTTCTCGCAGGGAAGCGCACGTGTGACTTTCTAATGGCAGACTGGTTGATTTTTCCACCTAGTAAAAACTTTCGGGCATAGCAGATTTTTTGATCTAATAACCCATCGAGTGCTCTATGCTGTCTTTCGACTTACCTGATGTTATTGCGCTAATTATAGTTTTAATAAGAAGGTTCTAACTGCAACTCCTGTATAGCTTCTCACCTCTCATAACCTTGTTTAAAATGCATAATGTTTAAGACACGAGAGTTAAAAAGCAATCAGCATAGTGGTTTTTTTCTTTAATAGTTTACAATCTGTAATGAACAAAAATATTTTTTTAACCTGAACTGTACTTCAAATGATTCCGGACCTATTTTTCAGACTACTAGCGACATCTATCACAGTAAGTTACTTATCCTCGGCAGTACAAAATCAACTTAGAGACGACTGTTTAGCGTCATCAGTATTCATGATCAGTAAAATGCTAAGATTACTCTTATAAAGGGAAGCACTGATGAACACTTCGTGTTATCAGAAGTGCCTTCGTAAATTTTCTCTCGATTATCTTCGTCTAGTTGCTGTTGAAAGATCAACACGATCGAAATCGTTTCTTGACCATTCTGTTTAAGCATATATGTGTATGCAAATTGCACAACTTATTATCTGACAGCACGAATTGTTTCAAACATTGGCGAGTATCTGGCAGTGGTGATGCTGCATGCAAAATAGACTTGTGGGTAGTTACTTAATGAAAAACCGTTCTTTCAACACCAAAGCTGGTAAATTCTGTCCGTTTCTGATTCAGGAAAGGACAGACTGATCAGTCTGTTTGATCGAGTATATTCATTCATTCAACAGATACTTTTATTAGTCCAAACAGCACGGTACCTTGACTGTTTCAACTTGACGACAAAAGCAAGCATTAATGCGCCGTTTAGTTGTACATTATGAATCGATATAGTCTCAGCTAGATCAGTATCACATATTTTGTAGTTTGATATAACATTCAAAAAATGACAGAAAAAATTGTGAAAAACTTATTGTAAGAGATAAACATTAAACATTATTTTACTTGTAAATTAATGCTAATTGTTCATGCATTACAAATAGTTTTCTACTCTCAAAAAATCTAACAACCAGGAAGGGATTAGCTTTGTACATTTGAAAAGTTTGTTTGTTTGTTAGTTGATGAATCATCAGTGTCCCGCCTATATTTTTATTAATTCTGAAATAGACTATCAAAACATCGACTATTGGATAATCATCATTGTATAAATAGTTAAGATTTTATGATCTGAAGCTGAACAACTATTAACTTGTTGTAAAATACTAAAATAATAAGACACCTTAACTAGCAAAAAAGAGATCTACGGAAGTTCTTTTGTGTGCGCTTGTTGAACGCATATATACATACATGCATAGTACACCATGCTGTCACTAATAATGGTATAGTAGGATAATAGTGCTAATGTGATTTTAATTTCTGTTATGTTTTTCTTTTCAGAAATATATGAAATGTAAGCTTTTGAAAAAAAAATAACTTCTTGCTTCTGAATATGCGACTGTTATTGAGAGAGATCGTCAAGATCGTCGCTTATACACAATGGAAATGTTGCTGTTCTTTCGATGGTGATATTCAATTTCTATTCGATTTAGCCGTGTAAAAGAATCATAAAAAACAACTCCTTTTTCTTTTTGATTCGGGATTATGATGGATCTATAAGCTTTTGTTGTTGTGCGATATCAAGGAGATACCGAAAATTTTTGTATTCTTATAACATTTTCTTATTCGTATCTTAGGTCTAATCCTGCTTTATCAAAAAATGTCCGAGATTCAACGGACAGTGATAACGAGGAAAAAGAAGGTAGGTTTTAAAATGATATATGCTCTAAATTTTTTCCTCTATTTTTATCCGTTTTATGTTAAGATGGCGAACTTGAAGAGGGTGAAGTTGAAGAAGATGAAACAGATCAGTCTGATGTTAAAACGGAAGAAGTAAAATGTGAAGAAAATCGTGATGGTATGTATGAATAGTAGAATTTCATAATGTTCTTAAGTCTTATAAACTTGTATACCTTCAAATGTCATCTTTAGCTGATTTTTTTCTGATGATAAAAGTTCGGCGAGACTATGGAATATACTTATCTCTAAGTATTGCTACTATGTCGACTAAGATCCAATGACTTGAGCTTCTTACTCTGTTCCCAGTAAAAATTCGTATGCTTGTAAGTGCGGACAATGAATATTTTGTTCAGCGATAAACAAGAAAATTTAGTACTCTGGTATTCTAATGGATATAGATCAAGGTTGTTCAGAAGAAGAGCAGATAGTAAGAAAACAATTTTGTGATAGAAAGTAGCATATAATGGTGGACACGATAAAACTTTTACCAGGATGCATTTTTCAAGTATAGTAAGCAGTATGAGAAAAGTAAACGAAAAAGATTTCGAGACGTATGAATATGTGTTCCATAAAATACTTTTTCTTTTAAAGACAAAATAATAAGAAAAACGTTTGACCTTATGTCTTCTAAGTCAAAGTGTGTTGTATTATCTAGAATGAAACTTAATTTTAGATGCAAAAGAAAATAAACCGGAAAGTGCTCAGCCTCAAAATGATGAGCAACAAGTACATCAGTTTGCTGACACCGGTGCTACGACTAATCGAAACTCCATGCCTGGCTATCGTCGACGAGATCATCATCACCATCATAGTCATCGCGGGCACCATCACAATGTTCAAACGAACGAACGTCAGTACTCCAAAGATCGTGATGTTCGAGAGAAAAATCGAAATAGTAAACATGAAACAGCATCAACATCATACGATCCGAAAAAACGAAGAAAAAGACGTCACAGTGAAGAAAGAGATGATCGTAATAAAAAACGTCCGGTAGGATACATCTGTCTATTATTTACCAAAATATCAGCAGTTTGAATTTCAAATTTTAATTTTAGCGTGGTAAATTTCGTGGTGGTGGCTTTGTAGATGTTGATAAAGATATTGAAGAAGCTGAAGACGATGAGATGATGGGTGCTGTCTGGCCTCCGAAATCGAATCGAAGTGGACAGCAACAACGTCGTTCGACTTCTCCATCACAGAGAAATAACGGTGAACAAATACAAGAACAAAACCAGAAAGAATCAAATGTATATAATGATCAACAGTCAAACGAAGAACAGTCTTCAAATATACTTACAAATGGACATGATGAACAGAACGAGGAACTGACCATGGACGAAGGAGAAGACGAAGAATATGACGAAGAAGGACGTGCCGATGATGATAATGAAATTGGACACAATGAAAACCAAGATCAGAGTGAAGTCAGTCATGATCAACAAGATGGAAATCGAAACAAAAAGCTACCAAGAGATGATTCAGAAGTACAAAAACCGAAAATGTCATATGTATGTTTTATCTTAGTTCGTAAAGAAAAAAGTTTAACTTATTTCTTTGTTTGATTTTTTCAGCGTGAGCGTGATCGTGATAGAGATAGAAATGAACGACATAATCGTGGTAGCGACAGAAAACCACGAAAAATGAGACCAGGAGATTTTTCAAAAGATAATTCAAAAAATAGTATTGAAAATAGAGGAAGACGTTATTATGAAAATCGACGTGAAAGACCATGGGGTCAAGATCGAGATCGTAATGCTTCGACGAATAACAGTAACACTGCTTCATCTGGCACGACAACAAATGTTAGTGGCAACAATAATAACACAAATACAGGTGGAAATCAGAGATATCGAAATGAAACATCCTTATCAACACCAATTTGTAAATTTTATATGGAAAATCGTTGCATGAAAGTATGTAATCATGTTACACATAAAGAAGTGTAAGATTTATTTTGTTTTCTGTTGTAGGGTTCTGAATGCCTGTTTAGTCACGATTATAAACCTCCTAAAAAAACGGATTTATGCAAATATTATGTTCAAAGCTATTGTCAAAAAAATGACATGTGTCCATTTCTTCATTCAGAATTTCCATGTAAATTTTTTCATACGGGTACAAAAGATTGTACGCAAGGTGATCGATGCAAATTTTCGCATGATCCAATTATTAATGAAGATATACGTTTTGCATTCGAAAAAGTAGGTTTAGTGATTAATCTTTTTTCGAATTACCATATTAACTTCGTATTTTTAATACTTTTAGTATTTGAATGAACAGGACGAACAATCGATAAACAATGGTAAACAACGTTCAAGTACATTTGATTCACCACCAAGACAAATGAATGCTTCATCGAAGGATCAAATGATAAATACTGAAAAACTAACGTCACAGCAACAATTTCCCATACCGGCGTTGATGGAATTATACGTGAAAGAACCATCAAATGGTAATTCTACGTCTGGTGCTGACACGGCACAAAATTCTTCCTCAACTCAACAGCAAAGCAGTAGCCCAGCACAAACAAACAATTTAATGCAACAAAGGTATTTTTGGAGAACATTTCTTTAAATAAGAATGATTTGATTGCTATTATTCTTCGTTGACCATTAAGTTTTTCTTGTAGAACCGGTCTTTTTTATGATACATTAAATACGACAACAGAACAGGACGACTCATCGAATAACAGTACGAGCACTGCGAATACAAGTACATCAAATGATGTATCAAGACTAAATAATCCATCAACGACAACAACAACAGCAAATTCGAATACCTGTCCATTACCAATACCACTTCAATTATTAACAATGCCTTCCGGTCTTCCTCCGCCTCCACAACATTTACTTAATCCAATATTTCCGCGGCTATCTCGACCTTCGCTTAATAATAATAGTCTGCCTCCACCTCTACATCCCGGCTTATTTTCAGCTGGTGCTAGAGTACCATTTTTATTTCCTGGTTCATCTCGAATGCCAATCACACCGCCAAATTTAGACTTTCTTAACACAGCTGCAGCAGCGGCAGCCGCTGCATTTACCGCTGTTGCTGCCAACACAAAATTCAATTCAAACTCTTCCGTATCTTCCACACCTGGACAAACATCATCTTCGTTTTCAACAAGTCCACAATTAGGTAAAGATATAGATGAACGAATATCGAGTCATACAACAATAAAAGATATTGATGAACGTGGAAGTAGTTTAACAACCACTTCTCCAACCATATTACCACAATTACCCTCCTCCACAACTTCCTTATCTACGGTGTTACCGCCCCCGCCATTGCCACTTGGACTTCTGTCTCTACCACCTAATCAACAAACATCTGTTACGTCAACTACAGTAAATCCGTCAGTAGATTCTTCTTTCATAACTGACGATAGAGAAGAAGAACATAAATCAAAATCCTTCCAGGACATATTCAAAACACCCGGCTCCCTTATGGTAATATATATACATATATGTTAATAATTTGATTTATACAAATATGTTTTTGTTATATCTTAGACTGATAATTCATTCAACGTACAAGGAACGGTTACAACAGCTGCACCATCATTTGACTTCATTTCAATGCTACAAAAGTTAAAACAGAATCGTCTTAATCCAAAGTTAGTTTAGAAAATTTTCAAATTTAAACAGCGTTTTATGATTCTCGTTAATCTTTATTTTTAGTGATTCAACTATTCTACCTGGTAACCAGGATTTACTTGAGATTCATGGAACAATTAATGGTCGTTTTAATTATGTGGTGCGACCAATTATCATCAATTTACAACCGTATGCATTGCCGGAACCCTTGAAAAATAATGATCCACGTGGTCCAAAATATCAAGAAAAATTTGTTCAATGGCAACGTGATAATGATGAACGAATACGTATGGAAAAATTAAAAACATATTCTCTTATGCAACAACAAACATCGATATCTTCTATGACACCAAATAATATATCGACTTTTAAATCTACAAATACGAATGCTGCTGTATCGAACTCTAGTTTACATTCACGTGATCCTCGACTTCTAAGAAATGCCCCAAAATCAAATAATATGAAAGAACAATCTCATTCCCAACAATTTTCACCACAATCTTATCAGCCGTCATATCAACATCCTATGAATGCTCATTTCTTGCCACTACCTTCTCCATATCCACTATCTTCTACTTCTCATACCGGTTTTTCTTCCGATCAGCGTCGACAAATGAACGATAGCACTTAGCACTTGTTTTATATATTATGTCAGGAAAATTATTTTTAATTTTTCTCTTTGTTTTTCTTTTGTAGATCTATAGCTGTCTACGTGTGTGTGTGCGTGCTTTGCGCTCTACTTATTCTTCGTTTTTGACACTGTATAACTATGAGATATATACATATATTTAACTAAACTTGTTTGAACCTCTTGTTCTTCTCTTGAAACACGCGTTTTTAATCTTGTTTTTTAATTCCATTCATCTGTTTCTCTCGTGTTGATAGGTTGTGTATGTGTCTGTAACTATTTTTGTATGTGTATGTCTCAGTTTTTAATTTTATGTAGGGATCAGCGTAACACATATTCTATTATTATAGCATACAAAACATGAGAGATAAAAACATATATTCTTTCATTATCATCATGTGTATGAGGATAAAATTCGAGAAATAAACATAGTTGATGGTATTCAAAACAAAAGATACTAGAAAATTGTTCTTTAAACTGTTAATACATTTCAGTAGAATTAAGCTGATTCTATTTCTCTCATAGCTTCTTCACGTTTCGAAAATTTTACTGAAAATCGAAAAAAATTTTTAGGTAAAACTACAGATTGATTTAAGCTTTATTCTTCTGGAATGCAAGCAAAATAAATTCCATTGTAGAATTATATAACTTAAACTATTGAAAAATACAAAATCAGTTTCGTACAAATACTGATTGAAGCACAAAATAAGCTAGATACTAAACTGCTAACCACTAAATTCTTAACTAACTTTCTAGCTCTTATACTACAGGTTAAGTTTTCTCACTGTAGCTACTTTTTTCAAAGGAATCTTTATTCGCTCTGATTCGAGTAATCTCAAAACACATCCGTTTTTTACATTTCATTCTTTACAAAATTTTAATTATTATCCAAAAATAACAATTTTTGTCATATAGAGAATTATCATGAAAATAGTCTAATTAATCAATTCAGATATACAAAATATTTAGTCAAGATTTACATTATCTAATGTGATAATTCGAATACATTATGTTGAAGCCACAAGAAAATTATCTTCAAGATTACTTGATGCATCATCAAACATTTCATGGATTAAACGGTACAAGATACCGATAGAACAGAAGTGATTTGATTCAAGATTTTGTTTATTAATAATTTAATATGATGATTGTTTTACAGGTTTCCGATATAAACTAAAATAACGGATAGATTCCAGCAATTTGCCGGCTTTTGCAAAACTTTTTATTTCAGATTACACCAAAAACGGATCCTGAGTTTTAATATTGAAGGATAGAGAAAATTTTGTGTAGATTTTAGTCATATTGTTATTCTTAAATTAAGTAGTTGCTATTTTTTTTGCAGTATTACTAATACTGAAAGCCACAAAAAGCTAGAATAGAATATGATTTTGTGACAACTTCCAAGGACTTATCCGTTCTCCGTAGGAGATGGAAGTTTGAGGTTTATTTGTATAGGAAGGATCGGGTGAAAAAAAGGTCTCCTGAAACTTTGTATTTACAAGACTGAAAGGTAGTGTTTATAAGTGCTGAAAATCGCGCTCTGGTGTTTGTAAGCAGAGATGGGCGAGTACGAGTATATACTCGTACTCGAGTACAAAATTCCTAGTGCTCGTACTCAGGACTTTTTTTAACGAGTATTCCAAAAAATACTTCCTAAAAAACTGATGACCTTTTTTTTTCCTATTTGCGTATCAAAAAATCGATTTATTCCGAGATTTGTTCGGATTCACCGGCTTCTTCAGAAAAAAAAAGTACTCGAACACTACTCGAGTACTTTTCAGAAAATACTCGTACTCCTATTCGTAGTCAGAAATCTGTATACTCGCCCATCTCTGGTTACAAGCAGTGAAAATGGAGTGTACAAAATCTGAAATCGGTGTTTACAAGCACTGAATATCATCCTCTGGTGTTTACAAACTTTAAAAGTAGTGTTTCTGAAGACTGAAAATGGTGTTTATAAACACTTAAAAAACCACTTTCATGCACATTTTTTTCTTCTGATTGAAAAAAATTTTTGTGATTTTTTTTCTATCTCGAAGTTAGGTTACTATGTTCAACAAGGTACTTTGTATTTTATTTTCATCATTAACTTTTTGTTTGGTTGCTTTTTATTTCAAGCTGAGTTGTTTTCAAAGCGTCACCTCCCTAACTAGATGAAGTTCGCTGAAGTTTGTGGAAGTTTTCACATTTTTTGCTCCAGAGGAGCAATGTTGACAAACTTTTTTTGCTGTTAAATAGTTTTTTCGAGCGATTCAAATACACGTTTTACTCTCTAAAAGAATATCTTAACTTTGTCATTCATTATCGAACTATCTCAATCCATGGGAAGAATGACATATTGTAGAATTTGAAATCCTGCATCTATGTTGATATTGAAACAATGGTTTTTAAAGATGAAATGGATAAAAACAACTTCAAGAAAAGTATCACTTTATTGATCAAAGATGTTTTTCTGATGTTTTGAATATTGAAAAGTAGAAACAAATAAGTTTATCAGGACAAACATACCACTACATTCACCGAAAAATTCTTTATCTTTTATCGCTAGAACACTATTCTGAACTTACTTTAATGAGACAAAAATCTATTTTTTTTAAATATTTGATTTTACAGTTGAATAATTAAGCTTTTTGTAGCTTTCAATATTATTAGTACTGCAAAAAAAAGCAAATACTTAATTTAAGAATAACATATGACTAAATTCTGCACAAAATTTTCTCTATTCTTCAACATTAAAACTCAATTTTTTGCTCCTGTGTAATTTGAAATAAAAAACGTTGAAAAGTTGGAAAATACGACAATTTTCTGTGGTTTACTTATTACATACATCATTAAGATACTTTTTCGATACGAATCGATCATTAAGCGTCTTCAACTCAACCAGATTAACGAACTTTTGAATGAGCAAATAGTGTACGACAGTAAAAGCTGCCATCTCACGACAATGGTTTATTCTATTAACAGACTATTAGGCATTTTTTTGAGAAGATCTTTGGAAAAACCAATCGAGCTCTCAAAAAAAAAAGTGGCAATACACCGTTCTTTTAGTGGATAGATAGCTCAAAGTGTACTCTTCAGAATGGGAGGCAAGCGCGACCTTGATTCTGGCTCAGAGTTACGGCTGACTTGGGTAACCTTAGATCGCAAGAAAAATTTGTAATGGACCACACTGAACCTGATGACTATATTTGTTTTTGAAAAAGAATTTGAAAATCTCATGAAAAGTGGATTTGATAAAAATTAGAATTTTTCGTCTGTTTTCACCTAATATACAAATTCATAACTCATTCTCAATACGTCAAAATGACCTGAAAATTTCAGAATATACAGTATTTAGGCAATTCTATAACCTATTGATAACAAAAACTAGAGCGCAACTTAAAAACATTTTACAAAATCTTATGATTATCCGAAAGGATTTTTGGAAAAACAAATCATTAACATTAATGTTTTCAATCGTATAATCGTCTATAGGAAGATAAAACTGACTATATCTTGAATTTCTCTGGACATTACGATGTATTTTGAATGAGCTCTTTTCTTGGTACTGCATCCTCGACTACGGAATTGCTCGCATCGCCACTACTTGACATTCCATCTTTCTTCTTGATGAATTGCTGTTCGCTTGTACGTTTTTTCTGTCACATCCATTAAATTTTAAATATAAATTGAACAAGACAGAAAAGTTTTTGCTAAAACTCTTACTGACCACATTCGGTCTGTTCATCAATGAATGATCAAAACGAAGAGCTGTTTATTCACAGATATATCCGTCTAGTGCACATGCCAATTTGAATATCGCATAAAAATCGATCATTAGCATACTTGAAAGATTAAGATTTGATAATATTTAATACTAATTGTACGAAATGCTGTTAATGATATGGGATGTTTTTTGTCTATGAAAGAAGTCGGAACGTGGTAAATAAGCATGGTGATAAAAAAATAAGAACAAGCTTTATACATTTTGGCGAAATGCGAACGGATATCTAAACAGGCAAACAAAATCATTTTGCACTTGTACACAAAAATTATCAGTTTGTCGAAGGTTAGCTACACTTTAACTAATTTTTTTCAAAAAAGATGCGTTCCGAAGAAATTAGTCGAGTTAACTTTTTGTTGATATGTCCTCTCTTGAAAGTTTCGTTAGCGAAAGAAAAAAGAATGAAAAAGTTTCACTGGGAAAGCGTAGAAAAGATATAAAAAAATTGGAGTGTGAAAAGTCCAAACTCTTATTTCCAGTACTGTAAGAGATCCATAATTTTCTGTAGGTTTTTCTACAGATCTCTATTAGAGTACGCGCTAGTACCCGAGAGGTTGTTTCATTAATATTCTTAAGTTCTTGAACTTGAGCTTAGAATTAAGCTAACGTATAACTTGCTATAGTATGTCGTTTTACGGCATTGATTGATGACAACTCCGGAGACATCTTAAGTTAACGCCTAGCTTCAAGTGATATTCTTAAGACTTAGGACAACTTAAGTTCAAAGCCGATGAACTGTAACGAGAAGAGCGAAAATGTAATTTAATATGGAAAAGTTCGTACATCGCGCGACTTGCAGTTTCTCCAACGTGCACATTGTGTATGCAGGAGAGTAACTGCTTTTTAGATTTAGATTTCTTCTTTCATTCAACTTATGTGCATACATAAATCAAATGAGAAATAGACGGTAGAATTTTTAGTGATTTGTGTGAAACTTTTCATTCTTTTAATAGCTGAACGACCAATACGCTCCAGATGAAAGGAGCAATACACTTTCATTGATATTTGTTAAACAATGCCTAATAAACTAACAAAATTCAGCAACAGTTGCCTTCGTCGGTCCAAACTCCAATCCATAGTTGAAACAAGGTACATCAGAGATAACATTCAAATGTAGATTATTCGAAGTACTGATCAACGATGGAACGCCATTGAATAGAGCAGCACATAAACAACAAAGAGCATCAAGAAAGAATAAATCAGGACAACATGCTATTACCAACAATCATAAATTGACTCTCATCATTTTTATCATCTACTCTATCAACAACATCACTAAGTGACATGCATAAACCGTTGAGTTCTCAAATGGTTCAGTAACCAAAGCTAAAACATGCAAAATGGCATAGATCATCTCATACAGTGTCATACATGAAGTTTTCATTGCTACGTTCTTCTTAGATTGATTTTAGCCAAAATTTCAGTTAAAATGGGCTTAAAGCCGCATGTCTATTTTTCTCCTTTTTGTGCCATTCTATTTTTGAGATTGTGCTTACATTTTAATTCTAGTTTTACGGTCACCATGACATGATATTGTGGCTCCTAATAAGTGAAGACTTTTTACTTTCACCGAATTCATTTTTATGTTAAGCTCAAGTACAGGAAACAAAAACAAAAATTAATAGGCAAAAAAAATAAGAAAAGCAAAAATGTGGACCGGTTAGAAATGGTAATGTAAACTTGCGGAACTGTGTTCAAAACGAAAACAGCAAAAACAATACTAGTAAAAAAATAGTGAATAAAATTGGATAAGAATGCTAGTTACTTTCGGTTTTGCATATAAATTCATACATTACATTCAATTCAATTTTTCATAATCGTAACATGCATTTAATAAACTGTCAAAAAATAATAAAAGACTGTTAAAAATAAACTCGATGCATAGCACTGTTTAAAAAATTGGAATAGCGAGATGCAAAAATAAAATTATTAAAACAATAGATTTATTGACAAAAAAGTGCACATTATCTGTGAACCGATCTGTTGCATCGACTAGGATAGATGTTTTTATATTAGAAAATTGAAAATAAAATTTCTTCTTATTCAACTATCAACACTTGATATAACGTACAATCTTTAAGTTGCAAAAAAAGTATGGTTATCAGTATCATCTGAATACTGAGAGGGAAAAAGGGATGCCTGTTGATGACCATTGGTAGTTGACTGTTTATTAACATGACTTGAACTATGATCTTGTTTTGGTATTGTCAAAACTGAAAAAGATAGTCAAAATACATTTTATATATAGCGACGTTGACTATGTGAATAATCTCTGTTATATTGTAGATTGGTGGAAGTATCTGTCAGCTATACGTAGCTACAAAAGCGAAAGTGCAATGTATGCCTTTCTACAGTAAAGGAATAGCTCATAAAAATAAGAGATGTTCTACAAGACAAAAATCTTATTTTGCTGAGTATCTGAAGAGAAATGGTTGCTATGCTGCTCTATGGTAGACAATGTTTACTGGAGGCTAAGCATGACAACATCAATAGGGAAAAGGATAAGAAGCACAATTTCACTTGCTATACATCGAAACTAACCTGAATAATGGACTAATAGCTTGTCTTTTATTAGAGTCTATGCACGAAAGAAGCTTCTTTTAGAAATCTTGATTTTTCTCTGACTCACGGATGACAGAAAATCAAAAGACATTCTTCCAACTTACGACGATCTGAAGGACTTTGCGATGATTGTGTATGGCCACAATCTACGTTTTTGAGTAGCTCCTAATAAGAATAAAATAATAAAAATTTATTTAACTATCAAGATTTATAACTTACCTCTTGTCGATCTTTATACGCTATTCCAAGTAAACGTAGTTCTTCGCATAATGCCTCGTAACGATAGGCAATACGAATATTTGGTACATTCGTTCGTCGAATATCATTACCTGCAACACCGGGATCCATATAACGCAATCCCAACCAATACTGTTTTACCTTTAAAGCAAATTAAAATATAAAATCAGTTCTATTGACAATCACTTTTCATTGTTTGTTATTACTTCATTCGAAAAACCACTCATCAAAACCGAATTTCTGGCCAATTCACACATATCAACCGATGATAATTTCCATACTTGTGCAGCAATACTATATTCTTCCATCAATGGTTCCTAGTTATATATATAAAATATATATTTTTCATTTGTTCGCAAAATTAGATACAGTATTTACTTTAGTGAAATGAAATTGCATTGGATCATCAGTTGAGAGTGAAACACATAAACCGCGTTCAAAGTATTCTAACATTGGATTGCGATTATAATTGATAAATAATGAATTATTACTTAATGGCGACATTGCAATACCAATCTGACATAGATAAAATAAATATTGCAACACCGGTGACTAAAATTAAACAAAAAAAAAAAAATCAAAATCTTTCAGAATAGTTGTACTCAACCAACGGTATTGAGTGCCTCTGCAAATATCAGTTGTATACGTAGCCAGATGACACTAGTATAACGTCATAAGTTCATTGAAGAAAACGATATCTTACTTTTCGAAGAAGTAATCCATGTGAAATATTTTCTGCACACATATAAGCGGCAACAAGATGTGTTACTGCACCAGCCTCACCACAATGTGGTCGAAATTGAAATGTATTTAATCCACGTGATCTATTAATACACAATTTTGTTGAAACAACCTAATATTATACACGATTATAGTTACCTTCTCAATTGATTTAATGCAAGAATATTTGCATACATGTAGAATAGATAATAAACATATGGACTAGAACATTTAAATATAATAAAAATAAGTTGATATAGAGAGATAACACGAAAATCATTCAGCTATCGAACAAAAAGAACGATCATGTAATGAAGAATTTACATACGGATTATCGTTCTGTGACCAATCAGCCGGATAAGGCATATCTGACGTGAGAATAGGACTGAATAAAAAACAAAAATATTCAAAATATACCTAACAATTTAAGTACAATATACCGTTCCGGTTTTGTTTCATCATCAACTGAATCTAATCCGGTTAACTAAAAACGAAACAATATTAAATTTTATTTAGCTAAATGTGACAAGAATTTACATGATGCATAAATTTAAACAAATCTGGATGAGCTGCCGGATTAATAGTCGCGGCAAACAGTGGTTCAAATAGATTTGTTAAAAATTCTTGAAAATTTTTTGTTATACCATTTGCATGATATACATCACTAAAAGAAAACACATAGTAATCTATTTGTTCATAGTTATATATTATAGATATTTTAACATACTATAAACGTGGAATTTGTACCATCCAACCAACATTAGCTGAATACATTGTATTTTTAATAACCCATTTAGCTAATTTATCCCATTCATCCATACTTTTACCATAAATGGATAAACGTAGTTCTGCATGTTGATATTTACTATCTTCCAAATCAGATATGACTTCCTACAAAATACAAAAAAAAAACCTAAAAGATTTAGTTCTACAGTAGATAAAAAGCAAAATATTTTTACCTTTAATAAATCAGCAAAAAATACACCATTTATATAATTATCCGTTTTAATAAAAATATCTCTAGAAAATAATGATACAATAAAATACTTTTTATGTAAAAATGTAAAATATATTTTAAAATGTATGTAAAAATCAAACTATATCTCACCGAAGTGTACTTTGTCCAAGTGGATTATATTTAGCATTGAATCGATCAAACCGTTGAAACGTATTACGATCCTTAAAAAGATAAAAAATAAAACGAAATTGATTTTTCTGTATGTTTTTCGATAAGTAAGTAACTTACCGCATGTACACCAAGCATATCGACACTCAAATCATAAGCTGTTATATGTAATTCATCAAATACTTGCTTGAGAGTCATTATTCGTCCGTCTTTTGTTTTATACACAGGCATATCTGGTGATTTTTTCATTTTTTTCTTCATAAAACGCAGTAAATGTTTTTGATTCATTGATGATGCAGCATGAACATGAGTATCAACCTATTTGAAAGAGATGATAATAAATACATAACGTAGAAAATCGATAAATACATACTTTTCGGACATTATAAAAATCACGATGTGGTGTCGATTTGATGGCAGCCCATTCTTTAACTTCATTTAGTAGTCCATGTAATTCATATTTTGCTTTTAAATATTGTAGACGACGATAACAAAATGATTTTAGTGGTCCATCCATGATGATTGCTGATAGAAGGGTATAGTCTTCAATAAACTGTTCACGATCAATAGCAGGATAATCAGCATCGACCCATTGTTTTTGATCATCAAGGACATAGGCACGATAAATTCCCAATTCTGGTTTAACATAAACATCGATCGGCTCCAATATTGGAATATTAAATGCATCTTCTCGTTTAATATTTGGTGGATGATAGGGATGATCTGAATGATCTTCGAAATAACAGAAAATAACTGTAAAAAAACAATATTTCTTGATCGTATTGTATTAGCATTGAGATAGTGTACTAAGTTGCACAAACGTGTTAGTTGTTATATCGTGAGTTGTTAAACACACTACATGTCAGTCAAAATGCAAACAAAAACGTAACATCAAAATGCTTATCTGTCCTGAAAATGAGCAGCGAAGGATCGAGCGGTGGGGAGAGGGGAAGTGGAAAAGATATATGAATATGCGCATAATACCAGGCGATGATTGGACATCAATGTTTCTTATGCATTTTGGTGTAACTGGATAAGTAGCTGTCGGTTGTGCAAACATAGAATCACTAGGACTACTGTTATTGCTACGTCTCTTATTACGTTCTAAATGAAAAAGAAATGAGAAATAAAGGAAAAAGAGTTATGCAAAAATGTGAGTATTAGTTTTTCATGCATATTTAAATTGAGTTAAAATTGAGTAAAAAGTAAAAGATCAAAGACATTTCATAGAGAAAGAGAGAGAATTAGCATTCAAAATTAAAAAGTAGAGTGATCACACTGGTAAATAATGATGTTAATAATGAAATAAATGATATTGCTGATTCAAACCGGTATTCAATTTAGCAACAGCGGTGGATGCACGTCGTGATTTATCTTCATTTTCCAGTGTTTTTGTTAAAAATTTAGCAACAGTTGCCGGAAACGATTGTATACTAAATATCATATATTTTTCACGTATTACAAGTGCACGAAGTAACGGGCCAACAGAATCCCCTAAATCTTCGATATGAGACTGAAATAGATAAAAATAGATAAATAATAGATACTCTTGTGTATATCTATCATTCTTACCATATCATGAAAATCTCCAGCTATCTTAATACGTTGAAAGGCTTCACGTGATTCCAATATTGTTTTTTGTGGGTGTTGTTGATGTTCAATTCGTGGATTTGGTTTTAAAGAATATTCGGGCGTTCCAACTCGACTATCAAGAACATTTGTAAAATTAGTTTCTAAACCTTGTGTAGATGTCATGAAATCTTGAGCAGCTCTAATAGTGAAAAATAAATCTTTTCACAAATTAACTTTATTCTAAATAATTTTTACCTGCTTTGTACAGCTCTTTCCACTTCTTCTTGCAATGAACTGGCAATTTCGAGTGGCATTTCACTATCAAATGGACTTTCGAGATCTGTTGCTCGAACATTTCGCCGTCTGATTAATTCAAGTGGAACGTCTTTAAACGATGGAATTACTTCGGGATGAAGTATATGATTCGGATATTGTTGTTGAGGCTTTTTTACTGCTGAAACAAAACCTATGTTCATTGATATATAGCATTTATTAAATGAGAAAAAGTAGATTATAGCTCACAAGCATAAATTGTGCTGCATGTTTCTTAGATTGCTCAACCGAATCAAGGAATAAAAGCTTACATAAATTTAACAACAAAAATAGCAGCCGCATACATACTTGTTTAGGAAGTTTTGTTATATCTCTATTTACAGTACAAAATATTAAACGCAGCTCTGCGTGAAAATATACACAAATTCTATATTAGTTCTTACGAGAGGACCTCGCGAACAGTCACCTCGCTTTTTCAGCCAAACCTAGTGGGCTACAGGTCATCAACTATACTGAATCCGAATATCATACTGATAATTGCCCAGGGCCCTACATAGAGCTGTTTTCTGGAAAACCAGTTTTTCAAAAACTCTAAAAAGTAACCAAAACCTTTCTTAATGAGACATGATTGTAGCACGCAAATTTCTGGTTAAAATGAGAGACCTCCCAGCTCTACACGACCTTTCTCTGCAAAGTTATAGAATTTATAAGAAAAGCCCTAAATTAATTTCTTCTTATTTTTGTAGCTTTGAGCTGACAATGAATATTCAGGGCTTTTCTTGTAAATTCTATAACTTTGCAAAAAAAGGTCGTGTAGAGCTGGGAGAT